AAGAAATAAAGAGATTTTTATTATAAATAAAGTTTAAGATTTAATTGGAGACATAAGTATCGTATATAATATCATTACATATGACGTCATTATTTAAAACCCTAAACCCCCTATGATATCCAACCCCGCATATATCAACAAAATTGGCCAGTCCCGTGGGGTGGATATTAGAGAGGGTTCACTGTATTTGCAACGGGACAGTTGGAATTATCACCGATTTTGATAAAGACGCACTTTTAATTCAAGTAGCGTTTTGTATCCAAAACGGAATAGTCCACAGCTGGATATCCCGACAAATATCTTACTTTTACGCAGCAGGACAAAAGGCATCGCACACAATTTAAACGCGTTTGCGCTAACAATACACAAAACGCAAGGATTAACACTACCCAATGTAACCCTAACATTAGACAACTCTGTGTTCTTCGCAGGTCAAGCATACGTTGCAATAAGCCGATGCTCTATATGGAAAAATCTCAACATACTCGCCTTACATAGAGATGCATTCATAACAGATAAAAACGTCACAGAAGAATTCCAACGACTACGACTATTAGCTTTAAACATGTCACACAAATTACAGCTTAACTAACCAACTATCGTAAATATTAACATTCACACAAAATAAAACTTTATTTTTATTCAAATAGAATTGCTCCATAATACTACCTAACACTTTGCTACGCCCGGTCGACGCAGTCGACAGGGCACAATTGAACTAGCCTAGTTTTAAATAATACTAATGCATTTACTGCATACCGGAGGTTATATCACACGCGCAGGCGTTTAGTGATTGTTTGGCGTGCCCACGTTATCTACCATGAATATCATATACAAAATAGTCGAATGTGAAGAGTGATACATTAGAAATAGTTGGCAGCCTACGATATTTATGTGTATCGGCGTGCTTACACTTTTTGTAATTTTCTGACATTAAGGTTGTAACCGATAATGGTTATCTTTTTACTTCACGCAGGATATAGCACTTTGTTTCTATTGTTAAACAGTGGACTATGACAACTAATCAATACATCATGATATAAACTGTGGTTAGTATCCCTGATAAGATGCAAGCATAAAAAGTAAGTTCTGTATTGAAGTAACAAGCATTAACTCGTATTCATTTTTTACAATGTTTAATGTTTGAAGTTTTTTGTTATCGATTGTATTAAGTGAGTCATCGCTGTCATTTCAACGGAAAGTGTTATAATAGCAAAACGTGCCATCGATCTCGGTCTTTGATCTTGTGCTAACGTATTGGTTTTAGCGCAAGTCTCGAGTAATTTGAGTTTCATTTTTACACTTTCCATTCAGAAAAAAAAATTATGTGAAAAAATTTTTGGCATCATAACCAATTAGACTTTTCGCCCGACTCTTCGTCATCGATTAAGTTTCAAATCTATTCAGCCAGACACTCGATATTTCTTACGTGGCTTTTCACGATACCTATCTACAAAAAGCATGCTTCTACAACATGACAACAAGAAGCAGTTTCCATATTTAACATGAGAATTTTTAAACCCGTCATACACGAAATTAAATTTATAGGTCAAATTGTCTTGTGCGTTACAAACTTTAATAATTAGATAGTAATAGTGATTTAATACATTTTATATTTTCTACCTCCGAACAAACTGTTAATGAACAATTAATGAGTATATATTCATTCCTTATAAACATAATCTACTTCTAAAACGTAATCCTTCAAAAAGGTTTCAAGTGCAATTTGTCTCTTTTCCATTGCAGCTACTAAAGATAAGACATTTGATCTATTAGCTGTTTCTGACAGCAGCGTCAAATCTTCTTTCTCTGGGATTTCTTCATTGTTTGCTTCTGGATTCGCACCGGTTTTGTGGATTAACGAACCTTTGAATAGACCGGCTTCTGCTAGCACAGTAAGTTCTTTCCTGACATCCCTTTTGACGGAAGGTATCCTTTGGTACAAACCCCAAGGCGCTCCCACTCTGTCAGTGCCTGTTTTGGTAGAGTAACAAAATAATTGCTGATTTTAGCGCAAACAAGTACATGTGTGCTATATGGCAAAAACATAGGATAAATGCTTACATACCAAATAGTATTACATAGACTGTCATTAGTAGACCATATATACCACCTACCGCACTTAATACGTCGAGCAGTGTCAAGTTACTGGCAATTAAACAGAATCAGATATTGTAAACTGTTGAATAATAATTGTATTCAATTACATCAAGTAATATCATAGACACTTACGAACTTTCAGTTTCCGTTACAACTATATAAGACGTGGGGTGGACAGTGACAGTCGCATAAGTTGTGATTTCGGAAGTAGCAAGCGTAAGCGGAACCGGAGCTGCAAGTTTTTTTGTCAGTTAATTTTTTAATTTGGTACAAATTGTTCTTGATTACAATAGTTGCATAGCTTTACATACCGAGTCTGGTCGCCAGCAGATTTATGCCAACGTGAGTAGCCTGTCTGACAATGATATTCCGTGCATTTGGAAGGAGGACCTTACGGAGAGAGCGCTCAATGCCGATATCGGAGTTCTAAAGAAAATTATCATTCGTTAATATATTATCGTAGCGAATTTAATTGATTGTTCTATGATTTATACGAAAACCATACTAACAAAGCCTTTAGCTATATTGTATAGATTAGCATTGAACAACGTGGCCACATAATCAGACACGACTGGTGGCTGGGTTCCCGGTGAATTGTAAATTTTTTCCGTGTCTGGTATAGTCGTTTGTTGTTAGTATCAATTACATCTTTTATGAAAGAATAACTTCACATAATCAGTATGATAAATCTTGAGTACCGGAATCAAACATGTTCACTTGTATTCGAGCTTCTGAATCAACTGAATAAAACTGATCATATATAGTAATATCAAATTCAATTGAACTCATCGTCCCATCAAGCTCGACACTCGGGATTCCAAAAGCTAAATTTTGATTGAATCTTGCCACATATCTGTTGAGGGTGTCAATTTTATTTGGACCAAAATCGGGTAGCGTACTAAAGCTTTTGTCTACAAAAAGTTAAGTTAGTGATGGTAATATTTGTGAAATCGTGCAATTGTTGTGGTACGTACTCATATATCCTATGGTGCAAGTGACTGTAAAGTTATATTCGGAATAGAATTCTAAAACTAATAAATGTATAACGGTTAGCATTTACATCATCATGTTTATTACAAATATAAATTACGTACTAGGCATCGGGATTGAATCAACTTTGTCCCGAGAAATGTTTACAGATACTTCGGTGCTTGCCAGCTGAATACATTTCCAGACAAAATAACCAGCTACGCCTAGCATTAAAATCAGCTTGAACCATCTCTTGGGCACTCTGACTGAAACAGGCTCGGCCTCAGAAGACCCAGGCCATACAAAGTCTTTGATAAAGTCTCCGATGGTGGTAAAAAAGTTTTTGATGGTGGTAAGCAAAACCATCGTTGTGTTAAGTGAATTGGGGAACTGAGATTATTAAGGCCGCTTGATTGCAGTAGTTATTTATTTATTTAATATTTATGCACTCAGAGTTGAATTCATATAATTGGGTATGTAATACTAGAAAGCTGCACGAGTTTCATTGATTATGGTCACAAAAATAGCATCATTTGAAAGGGCTTGTTTAATATACTTGATATTTCTAATTCTATAACGAAGAATCACTGCTTTTTTTTATCTGGCATATCAAACCTGTGTTGTACAAATAAATAGGCTCGCTGAATCATAATTTTGTAATTGTCGAAGAAGTGTACTCGATATGCGCAGATTTCCTTGGACAGTAAATTGAGCCATTAAGCGCTACTGTAGTTTCTTGACTAACCAACTCTTTATTCATCACATAATTACATCAATTGTTTTTATTATAATATGTTTATTAGTAATTATTTTAAATTTGACGCATTTCCCCACTACTCAATATCTATTCGAAAAAACCAATTCAAAACAAATCCACATAATCCACCCTAAACCAAGACGGAAAATAACATCCCCACCCTGTTTAACTCCTCCATTCGGTAATGTGTCATTGCTCGTCGTGTTCATAGTCGGTACATCAAACGAGAGAAAGACGTTGAAAAAGGTTGGAGTAGTTTTGGGGTTGCTTACATGAAGGCACCAGATTTGAGAAAGTACAGCTTGCCTACCGCAGCTTTTAACACACTGATCGTAGCTTTGTGTTTGGGAAGATTGGAAAGAGATTAATGAGCAGGTATTGATTATCAAATTTTAAGTGAGTATCGGAGGAAGCACATATAACATTACTATGTAGAAAAATCAATAGCTTTGCTTTGTTTTTAACCTACTTGCAACTCCCAATTTACTAATCAAATTCCCTCTTCACCCTTATTATATACTTACCATGATTGTTGAGTGAAATACGAATCGAGGGTCGAATTAAGCAGCTCCGTATCCGAAGCATAAGCAAGAATACCGGTTGAACAAGGTTTAGTAATAGGATCACCATTTCCGTTCGTGATGGAGCCAAAGTTTGGTGTTAAAGTGAGTTTTTGAGCTGATGTCGTGACAAGATATCCTAATCGAATAGATATGTGAGCAGTGTGAATTATACTTAAATTTGGATGTGGGTCATATAATACTCACTTATTGCATCAACTACGCCTGAAGAGCAGAGATGCCTTTTGAGGAGGAATTAGGTTAGATATTTTAGAAAGATAATTAAATTTATAACGGCTACATTTATTCTTACCAAGTGTTTCGACCTGGCAGCGAAACATTGCCCGTTTGTGCCTGAGCACTCACTATGGACGCCTACATACACATTTAGAATTGATAATAAATATATGTACATGTAGTATAACATAATTTGGGATTATTTGCTCACCAACACAAATAAAATAGTACCAACTAATTTCCACATCTTGTTGATTATAATAATAATATCGAGTGTGTTGTTTATTCTTAAATATCTTTTCGAAGCAATATGCAGCGAATATCAAATGTGTGATGTATGTCACACACGTTATTACAGTATAATAAGTGTAGTTGAAGTAAAAAAAATTTTTTAAAAAGGATGAGAAATAGAAAGAGAAATTTCTATATTAAGGCGATTATTTCAAAGAAGTAGTCAGCTATCTATCCACTTATCACTTGATCTATTGTCAATGCAATGTAGATACGCCAACTTATATCGGAGTTGTCGGTAGTTGTTTAGTCATATTGTAAGTTGTACGGAATTTGAAACCCACAAATACGTAATTGGTAAAAAAATACACGACATACAAGAGCAACAAATTTAGGTTTATTGAAATCATACATAGCATGAAAAAGAGATTATGCAAGTACGTACAGGTCAAACCTGTTTAAACCGGCGCTGATTAAACCGGTCTCGTGTTTAACCGGCCGCCTCAAGACTACACCAAACTTTCATTAATTAGAAACTTTCTCTAGTTGAACAATTTTTTGAACCGGTCCTTAGCTAAACCGGCCAAGAATCGGCAAACCAGGTCCGCCGGTTTAAACAGGTTTGACCTGTATTAGAAGAAAGGGCATTATGCCCTTGTAGAACAACGTAATTGAGTCGAGTTGCGCCCAGACTTATATAACTTCTAGTAGACTTATAAGGTTTAATTCGTGATATAACGGTATAAAATGGAATGGTGCGGTAAAATCGGGGGAAAATTCGACAATGCATCTCCAGGGATACAACACTCACTATCCAATAGTATGATGAAACGTATTGCATGATGTGGTTATACAAATCGATGTCATTTCTTTGTTTGGGTACACACAATGGATAGGAAATTGGTTATTTCTCTACTTGCTTGATACCATTGTTTTTCTCTATTGGGTCATACAATGGCGTTTGTCAGCCCCGAAGTCTTATTTTTTTTTTACTTTGGTCAAGGTACAAATACTCTATCGCCGAAAGCGCAGGTACATATTAATATGTAAGTTAGCAAGTAGGCCGATTTGCATAGACCGATTTACCGAACATCACTTTCTAATCCTCATTTGGCGTCATGAAATAGTTGGACAGCGAATAAGCTAACAAAAGTGTGATATGAAAAAGGTCAGGCTGCTAACCTATTTTATTTACTGCTAGCAGACACATCAAATCTTTTTTTATTTTTTAAATATGCGTGCCCTCTAATCGGTTTAACCCAAAATGGGAATAATCGTCAAAATAACCCCCTCAAAAAAAGTAATTATCTCATTGTCGAGAAACCTTTTTTGTAAGCCATACTAAAATGAGCCGCAAATCCATGAAGGGTTGGTAGAAGGGGAACAAGCATTATCTATCAGCACAATTAGACACTCGACTGCTACATTCAAAGACGGGGCGTTCTGGACGTCCTCGCGAAGTAGTGACGTCAGAAAAAATTGCCATGGTCTTGTTAGCGATAACCCGCACATTTCTATTAAAGAATTAACTAACGAAGTCGGCGATTTCTCGTGAAAGAATTTCCTTGCTCCTTGTGATTTTTTCTTATTCCCTCGAATCAAAAAAGGACTGAAGGGAAAAGGATTTGATAAGGTCGAAAATTTGGCAAGGGCTGTTCAGGCAGTTGTTGAAGGCATCCCGAAAGAGAACTATGAGAACTCTTTCCAGAGTTGGCGAAATCGGCTAGAACTTTGTATAAAGTTTAATGGAGAGTACTTTAAAAAAATAAAATAGTTGTATTGATAATTATTATATAATTTCTGGAAATAAAGGTCCACGCGCAAAAAATTTCAGCCTCCCTCCCCACCTATAGTGAATTTATTTGGAGATAGAACAGGCAAGAGCAAATTATTTCCTGATGTACAACCACACTTGTATTGTTGCGCCAATGGAAATTAAATAAAATATGCGCAGTATCGCAAATTAATTCTGTGCCAATTTCGACTGAAAATATTTATTATATTGCGGACAACAAATTATACAAGCTTTTCCTCGCAAAATAAGACATGTTAAAATAAAAAATTGCTGCAAAAAAACTAACAGCAAAGAATACAGCATGTTCAAAAAACCAAATAATAAATAGATTTCTATAGTTTGGGATTGAAATTATAACCAATTAATGTCCGTGCCTTCGATATTTATATATGCGTACCTGCGCTGGGGGGTCTCTCTTTCCACTGTAAGCTATAAAGACGCAATTACCAACTAACTTATTAATATCAGTGTTTTTCAGCACCTGGACATGACAAATTTTAAATGCGATAATGGTTTTGGAAAAACAAAGAGTAGATTATTAGGTTCATCTGATAGATGTAATGACATGCGTTACAATATCAAGTAAACCTTACCGTACACCACTCTGTCCCAGGTTTTACGAATGGAGTGAGGTCGAATAAAATCTTGTCATCATCGTCATTATCCCCATCATCAACATGATGAACATCTTCGACACATTTTCTGACTTCAACACGGAGATTTCGGCTAAGAACGATAAGGGAAGTAACAAACACCTGGTGGTCGTCACTGTCATTATCTCCATCTGACGGCAATTGTACAAAAGTGAAAGTGGCCTCAAATCCGGCTTTCGCAGTTCTAAACTCAGCTTGTGCTATGATACTGTCAGGTCTCTTTTCATTATTTTGTTCAGAGAGGGCGTTTGTTGCCGGCATAGCATTGACCGAGAACAAGGATACAAAAAGAAGAAGAGCGATGACGATTTGCTTGTACATTTTGTGACTATCGTTGCTTGAATCTTATAAATGCTTGAATCCTATGAATTGATTGTTGCTTGAATCCCAATACGAATTATGAGAAGAACTGTTCGTTCCGATGGATGATAGAAAAAGCTCGATTGACCCCGTCGTTTTATAGTTGTTTTTCCCTTCCTTGTTCGACCGCTTCATAACATTCATTCAATTTCTATTTACGTAGAACTTTTTTTATACGTGTTATTTTTAGAGAATATTGAAATGGACAGATTACAGTTATTCCTGGATATTGATTAGCTATCAGACATATCCGGTAGCTGATACAGTCATGTAATATGTAATATGGCGTTGCGCTTTTTTAACCACACAATCAAGTTGGCACCAACTTTGATTATACTCATATACTCAACGTTGTCACCAGCGTCTGTGTTACAACCCAAGAAATTAGGATTGCCAGGTCGCACAATACGACCTGGCAGGATTATATGCCGTACCACGTTGATATTAAAATCAATATTCTGTAGGAGTCCTGTAGTCTTTATTGCTAAGGTTCACTGATATATACGTCTATTTGGGATTGTTCAACGAAGTATCCGTTTCAGCCTAGAATAAACTAGAAAATTTAGAGATGGTTCGCCACGGAGTTTGCCGTTTGCACGATCTTCGTGCTGCGCTTCGAATATGCAACTGTCTTTGTGCTTTGTAAGCAAATGCAAACACGACCGATTGACGACTCAGTTTATGGAAATATTATTGAAAACCTGGTTTGAGACAAGTATCAGTTTCACAAAAAAAAAAAAAAAAAAAAAACCAAAAAAAAAAAAAAAACCGGATAAGGATGCCGAACCGAATGTCATACATTCAATTTTCCCCCATTGTTACTAACACAATATGCAAACGGTCTTTATTTTATTTTTTATTTTCCGAAAAAGGAAGAAATACATTCAATCATTTGCGTCATTTGTCACTAACAAACGGTATTTACTTTTTTTTCTTTAAAATGTTGGAATTGCATGAATGGAGTTTGTCGTTTACATGATCTTTGCAACGCTTCAAATAATTCTATACTACGTAACATTTTTGTTTATGGATGTATGTTGTTTGGGTGGCGTTCAATTGCCCGACAATTATGGGCCCATTTATGATAGGTATTACAAACATGATAAGATTGTCGGACAAATAAACCGAGTCAAATATTTAAGTATTTAAACTATGCATTTGTTTTCACAAAGAGACTTAGTGAGCGAATCATATTAGCTAAATTACGTTGAATGCAGGGGAAAAGATCGTCAAGATAATAATAGGGAGATCATCAAGTCTGGGCATTGCACGACAGAACAGAATCGACCTCTGCGTTACTATCATATACATTCCTAGAATTTTTACTGCAAAAAGGCATATCGACAGGCACTCCAAGCGAACGATTGTAGCCGTTATGATATAAACTTATACAAGTTTCACTATACAGTTACATTCAATTTTAAGACTTGTTTGTTTATTGTTTGTTGTTTGCCGAACTCCGAAACGGGACATCATTCACACATACCAAATTTAATGGCGTAATTAATGTAACCATAGTCTCGTGGTTTTTTTCAATGTGCGTTGTGCACTGAAAATTAATCATATGCGCTGTATGCATGCGTGCGAATCTAGTCTCAGACTGCAGTCTTTTCCGACATCGCCGAAAGCAGCAGTGGAATTCCGACGAAAATAGTAGCTGCACAAAAACAATACCATGTCGATCGTTAACATTCTAGTATCCCCAACCATCATTGTCTATCCAATTTTGAAAAGAATTTCAAGCCAATTTCTTTTATCGGTAATAGAAAAATTACGTTTCACATGGCTTGTACTGATAGACAATTACGGGCAATTGTGAAAGTTGGATATGTTGTACCTCAGTTGGGGACCTGTGGACCGACTGAGTGTCTGGGTTCTGAACTGAGACAGGTCCCGAACTCAGACACAACAGATATTCGATCCGATCCCCCCCCACCAACATTCAAGAATGTTTACATTCGTCACCGCATGTTGTCAGTTCATATTGACTTAATTCTTGAATTGTAGTTCGCGGGAAATTGTAAGCCTGTTAAACTTTGTGGCTTGCTTGAACCAGCTTGAACCAGCGTTCTGCTGAAACAGTTTTATTATTATATGTACAGTATTGCCCAATTTTTTTGTCTTTGTCTATTAATTGGTGCGCTTCAAAAAAATTTTTTATATCGTGTGCCTATTTCCGCTGAGATTGATGTTGTCAAGTCGATAAGATCCCAATACTTGTCAAGACTTTTCTGCACAAACGGTGTTGTGAAAAGGTAGATTTTCTCATGCTCGGCGTGACAGAGCAATAGTTGGGCAGGTTGTACCTGATAAAATCTGAGTCGATGCTTGCTGACAGGAGAGTACTCAATGGAATTCTAAATAGCAAGTTGTTGCATATCGAAAGTGATTGACATTTTTGAGGCGAGTAGCTTTTTGAGTTATAAGATTTATAAACTTTATTTTATTTTTATTTTATTTTTGAGGTTTAGCATTTGCAAAAATTATTGATGTCAAAATAAAATGTTAGATCTATATGAAATCAAAATTGAAAATCGAAATAAATATCTTTATAATTTTTGCTGTTGGCAAGAATGTATGAATATTGAGTTCTCCGTTACAAGAAGAATTGGTGCATCATGAATCGATCCACGTAGAGTGGTATTGGAGAGAGGGTCTGCTTTTAGATAGTCATAACAAGATGCCAGTAGTAATTGCCAAGGTCTTTGTTTGAGATCAAAATCTCGTAAGCAAAATAGCAATCAGTCATATTGCTAGCAGCGGATCTATCTTCGAAAGGCATAATGTCCACCATTAAATGTCGTAATTTCCCAGGTTCTATCAATAAAATGAATTGTTATATTAAAGTTTAATCTTTGCTGACATTCCTTTACCAGAAATTGATATTAAATAAGTCTTGATGACTTCCTTATGAGCTCGTCACATAATATAATAAAAATTTTGATAAATTGTCGTGTTTAAGCACGGATCTAAGTTGTTGAGAAATGCCAACATGCGTATTTTCGACTATTTGAAATGGCTGTTAATTCTGAATTATCCACACAACTAGATCCTTTTCTAGTTGCTTTTGCATCTAGGGAGGATGTGGACTAATTCAATGCACTGCTCACTTGCTACTTTATTCAAGATAATCACGACAATATTTACAGTTAAGTTTATCAACTTTACAGTTATCTAGTGAGTATACAATTATCCATTGTTTTTTCGAAATTATTTTCTTTTCGAATTTTATAGTTAGTACTGTTTGTGACTGGTCGTCCTTGCGGTTTTGTATTTTCTTTGCCTTCCTCGAAAGTATAGTTTATATCTTCCATCAATTAGGCATAAGAACGTACAGTGTGTAAAGAAATTATTGGCAAAAAAAAATCGCGTAACTTTCCTAAAAATAAACCAAATGGCGTAAACTTGTTTTTGTTTTGATCCCGAAAACCTGCTTTCCATTTTCATTAAACAGCGTACTGTCTTTTAGAAGTCATTTTTTTAACAAAATATTAACAAAATGACAAGCTCTAATCTAAAAAGCCAGCGAGAAACTATAAGGATTCCAATGCGGACTATCTATAAAAGTTGGAGAAATTTGGCAGTATAGATCATAAAAAAGGAGCCGGTCGTCTGAAAAAATTACCCCCATGTTGCAGGTATATTTGGTCAGCATATACGCCACGGCTCCACAATTTCTTTGCACTCCATGAAGACTAAATTGGCTGGAAAAGGCGTACAGCTCTCCCACACTACAATTGTAACGCATTTAACAGCTCTTGGGTACAACTAAAAGCTGCCAAAAGCCACTCCGATGTTAACTGAAGCTCACAAACAAAGACGTGTGGACTGGGCAAAAAACATAACAATTGGAACAAGACGTATTTACAGTCGAGAGATGGTATAAAGGCGAGCGACCTGTACGATGAATTCCAAAATATCGTACCAAAATCTTTGCATGGGGTAGCTTTTCGATAAAGGGCAAGACCAGCCTTTTTGGTTTCACAAATATAATGAATGCAGAGTTCTATGTAGGCATTTTAGAAAAGCATATTCCAGAAATTAGGAACTTAATATGTAGGCACCGGCGGCTTCGACGGATAACGATCTTAAGCATACCAGCCGCCTTGCTCAATTATTTCTTAGTGAAAATATTCCAATGCTTATGGACTGGCCAGCCAACAGTCCGGATTTAAATCCAATAGAAAATCTTTGGAATATTGTTAAAAGAAACATTGAAAAGAGAATGCCACAAACTCAGCAAGATTTAAGTCGTTTTATGGTAGAGAAATGGAATGCTATTCCAGAAACCATGTTAATAATCGATGAAGCGCAGATGTGGGTTAGTTATTGAAAGCAACGGAGAAAGGATATCATATTAAAATTTTGTTAATAAATTTACTGCATTTTAGCTATCAAATGAGGTATTAACTATGTTGATTGTTATGGTCGTTGTTACTCAATGATCAAATATTGCCAATGATAATAACACTGTATATGGTATGGTAGTAATGATATTGTGTTTGGGATTTTAGTATGGAGCAACTGACTAGAATTTAATACATAATGTGTTGTATATAATAGTAACATGATTGAAGTAGAAAATCTTACATTACATTGTGGATACTAATTTTATTTAAATTTGCTAGAATAGGCAGTCTCAGTCTAATTAAGTTTTATTTGCTTAATTTTCTTCTAAACTTTTGCTTAATTTTTTTTTCAATAAATTTATTATGGCGTCAAAGACACCAAGAATCTGCATAAAACGACATAGTATTGTTTACTGTTTATATTAAAACTTTCTACTTGACAAATTGTTGACACCAGATGGTGGGCCAACAGGAGTTGCTAATGTGGATGCATCCATCATGAATTTATGAACAAATACCATTTCTTATTCAAAGCTATCGATTTTTATTGAGTTTTCTAAAGAAGAGCATGTTGGCAAAGTTATCAGTGTGTATCTTTGTAATAAACTCTCACTCAAATGTTGTGCTACACATCCCCCTGTCGGTGAACACACCTATACGACAGATAATTGGCTCTCCCACCCAAAGAATACACCGACCGCAACAATATCCCGAGTATTAATATACTAGAACAATTATCTTCCCCAAAATTAGGCCGACAATTTTCTCGTTTACTTGAAAATGGTCGGTATATATAACTTTGCATCTGGAGATGGTATAGCATATTTTTCGAGCCTGCGAGAAAAAAAGCAAATTAACTCGTAATATTAATTATGCATCAATAGCAATAGCATTGAGATATCGACATACTTCTTCATAATTAAATATCTGCTTACGATTAATATTAGACCCCTATCAATAAGCATTGCTTGAGTTTTCAATAAATTTCCCTGAGTACAACATCGATTGTTTTTCGATTTGTTCTTGCGAGACATTTCAGTCATATATGGAAGCCCTAATAATCAATTAATATTTTTTGCGATTTTTTAGATATGATAGATTATTAGAAGCAAACTTTGATTCCCGAATTAAAAGACTCGAAATGATTGAAAAAAGGAACGATAGTTTAGAAAATAAGTCTGTATGTTTGGAGTTAAATTTATCTGATTCAGACACTGACATTGAACAAGCTCCGCATGATTTATGGACAACAAGTAAATACAGAAAGAAAAGAAGATACCAGAAAAAGAAGTTCGTAGAGAAAATTTGATAAGAATTGCCTTTAGAATGCAATTATAAGAAAGCATATTTCGCTTTGTCGATACGAAATTACAAACATGTTTACTGATCAGGAATCGACATCTTTCTTGAAATAAAGTCCCTCGCGATTGTTGTTGTGAATACATTCCAAAATTAAAATTTCCGACAATAATAACGCTAAAGGCCGACCGACAGCCACACTATACGCCTCTAGTTATTGGTATAAATTTGGAGAACCAATACGATAATCGCTGATAGTAAAAAATCATAAGCTTGCATAATTGTTCTAGTAATCGTCATGGTTCTATTATTAAGAACAAATGCAATGATAGCTGACATTAAATTGTTCTGCATTAGTTATCCGAAGCGGGAAATCTTTTTAGGATTCCATCAAACTAATTTGCTAGTATTTTAATCTGCGGTGGTATCACTACCTGAATTGTGTTCGAGTCGCAGTTGAGTCGCGGTTGAGTCTTTGATTTTGTGTGAGTGGATAATTATTTACAGACGAAAGAAAAAATCGGAATGCCGAATAACACGACATCCTCGGAAGCAGTATAACAGATTTTTGGAACAGCGTTGCGAATAAAATTAATCGAGAATTTAGTACTAAATATACAGGACTCAATGTAAAGGAAAATAGCTTTGGTAAAGCTCTATTAACACCCCCTGTTTTTTGTATGAGAATAGACTAGCCTTATGAAGGGGAAAATCCCTGACCATTATTATTATAGCTGATAGTAGTATACTATTATTATTATGATTATGCATGACGTACGATTAAATCGTCATTCTGTTACGTGAAAAATTTTTTATTCGATCTATTTTTTGTATATAAATATAAAAGGACTGTCTCCCTATAATTCGATCGCCTTGAGCAAAATCCGATTTTTTAATATGATTGTTCTTCCTTAAGTACGTCTGTCGTTAATTCGACCTGCACGTTAATTCGGCCGATGACCCCGGAACGCAGGCGGTTGAATTAAAAATTGGCTGTACTAATTCTGTCTAGTACTCGACTATCTCTCCAACTCTGCAGACGCGTCTACCTTGTTAGAATCTTATTAGTAAAATGTCAAAAATTACACTTTTACAAAAAACTATTTCATTCGTTTTATACTTATCAGTCCTTCCAAATACGCTGTCTGGTCTGCACAATGGTATGTCTCGCTCGCAATTCTGCCAACACTTTTTTTAAACCTCTGCCGCCCTTCTAAATTTCTCATTCTGTAGGCTGTACCATTTACCTTTATTGCTTTAGCTACTGCTGATTCAGCTACTATTTGGAGGTATTGTTATATCGACATTGATAATTGAATTATATGTCATAGATAGCCAATAATCTAATAATTTTATATAACAATTTACTCACCAAAAAACAATAATACAAAAAGACGTCCCAAAAACCGACGACTCGGAGAACGACAACATGAATGAGTAAGTATAATGCAAGATTTTATCCACCACTTCATTTATTACAGCAACCGTTTTGGAGAGATGTTACTTTAAAACTGTAATTTATGCCCTTTTTTGTGCCCCACTTAACCAGACAGTGATACGTAAATGGGATCCGTTATAACAAGCATATTTTTATTATAATGACATATTGTACATTTGGATTAGTATCCATAGGCTTTATCGAGAGATTACTAATAATCTCCGATATATCAATTATTTAAGGTCAATCTCAATCATTCGTATTTTAAAGAAGTAAATCAAGAAAATTGGTCTTTTCTGGAAGTTGAGGTGGCAGTATATTATCGTCGAATATTTACAGATTCTGAAGAAGAATAGGTTAAATTGGACGCATTCTCCCGACTACAATATCCAAAAGAATCTACCCTTCATCTCTCCGTGGCAAATTTTCGTTAAGACATTCACGGATAAAACATTTAAAGTGGAATCATCCAACCTGCCAACATTATATTCAGACCAGCAACTTACAAATTTTCTAATAATATAAATGCTGCATTGACCTGCAGCTTCACATCAACCGATTCCTCACGAACAGCTGCTGGGATGCAAATAGGGTCAATAATATTGACCTTATATTCAGCACACTTGATCCTAGACTTACAGTTGCCTATCAAATCCTGACACATCGTACCTATAGCATCATGAATTTCAATAGGCGTGTATTCTTCGGGTGGCTGGCTGAGGCATCTTACGGCATCATTCATCATAAGCATACTCAACCAAATGCTGTCTGTCCCACTTGTGTCGAGAATGCCAGATGCAATGGGCCGTATCGCATTGATTGCATACGGTCTCCTGTACAATTCAACAAGTGCGTCTCGAAAGATTGCAAGCGCACGATATTCCCCACCGTCCACGATAGCCGGAATAAGTATGTCCTATAAAATATTACACACATGGACGATTATGCTATATGATTTGACAATAATAAATAATGCATAATATTATTGCTTACCAATCTTTCTATTATTACCCTGTTGCTTAGGATAATATTGATATTCTCCTCAAATAACTCTTCCTTTATCATCTAAATAAATTAATAATACTCAGTTCTTGCAACAATGAAGGCCATGTTCTAGTTTCAGAATCTATATTACAATTTATCATACTCACGTCACCATCCCAATACGCTTTGCCAGCGCTAACAAAAACATCGGACCGTTTTTCCTAAAATGAGAGAACATATACACATTGAAAAAAAAATATATCCAATGCAAGAGTTGCTTAGCAGGATTTGGTGACTCAGACTACATATACGTTTTTCATGTTTCAAGAAGACTCTTTCTCACTCACAACCGTGACTTAACCTAAGGGTACCACCACGAGAATAAGGAGCATGGTACTGGATCCAGACCAACAATAAAAATTTGCCACCATTTCCTGGTTCATAAAATAAAAGAGACTTACAAAATTCAAGTTGTTAAATTTTTGCAGTGCATCTTTCAGTTTCTTATGCAAGGCAGTCTGATTACTTTTTGCCCAATCCACCGCTTCATTTATCTCCTTTGTATATTCGTCTCTGGCTTTCGTCGGGTCCTCTGTTAACCCACTTTCATAGTTTCTGCCAGATTATCCATGATTCAAACGACAGAACTGCCAAGTTGGCATAAACGTTGACGAGGAAGAAATTCGTAATAGGAAAAGAAGACATCTTTCTCGAATATGTCCTATGAAACTTGGTGGGTAACTTCTTTTACGAGCTCATTCGTCTCCCGCTAGCTGAAAGATTCTCATACTCAATGTCATGTGAGAGAACTTGTGTAACATATTAAGCCGTCACGTCTAACAGCGACCTCTTATGAAACTAACCAAGCGGAATGCTCTTATCGGCTACTTGGAGACAAGCCAGTTGTTGGTGGGCCAAAGCCCTGTCTGAATTCTAGTATAGCGGGTATTGGTAGGATCGCCGAGTTTATTGCTGCAGTCTATCGACTGTGCCATTGGTAGGCCAAAGCCCTGTCTGAATTCGAGAACATTGCAATCGCTGAGTCACTCGATGTTGAGTCGCTGCGCTCGCTCGACAGTACCTTTGGTGTGTTGATTTATTGTCCCGCTAATTGTAATTAATGAGTTATTTCTAGCATATTAAAAACTCGTCGACGATTAAAGAATTCTGGGAAGATTATATTACAGGACGAAATCCAACATGTCAAAATGCATAACGAACTAAAGTCATTTGAGATCGAGTCTGAAGATGTAAGATTTTTTTTTTGACATTGCAAACATTAATTTGATCATATTGTTTGACAGAGTTTACGTTAACATTTTCTTTTCGGTTAACCATGTTATTGATCAAAGTATAGATCTAGCCTATGCACTAAGAATAAAATTCTTTTAGAGTGACGAATGTAATCTCCAACCTACACAGTTTTACAGAATGGAGATATCTGTGGGGCAACTTTCAGCGCGTTATCAGCAGTCAAGGATGGGCATTAGTGACATCGCAAGTACCAAACTCGATATGAAGATGGGAAGACGCTCATCTACATAAAATTGGTGAGTGACCAGGGTGCTATTCTAGTAGTTGTAGACATCACATCAAAGACATTGCTATTATCCCTGGCCATATAAACTAATATGCAGTCATGTTTAGTAAAGAGATAACATTACCTAGATTGCTTTGGCGGAAATATGAATTAGATATCAAGGATGCTGAATATGCAACCATTTTAACATTAATATTAATGCACCAATAAATAGCCATCTGAACATTGTAACGACGCGTGAATCAACAACAAAGAAGAAAATAATTTTATGGATCCGAAGTTATGATGGTTTACTGGCTTTCGCCAAATCCATGTCTTTGGGATAGAAATTTAACGAATAATGAATGAGTTGCTTCTACGTGCATGGAGAAACAAGAAAGCTAGGCATTACCTTCTAATCGAACATTACGTGATGCACTGGGTATAGCGACTGTTATGCCATCCAGATCTTCACGCATGACTATTTGACAACCCAGCCTTGATCTTCACGTGAAGAGAAAATTCTTATGTCAATAAAAAACGTATTGTCACGAATAATGAACGGGATACCATCTATTACTATTTTCAGTAACTAACGTCTCTGTTAAGCCAAAGGCCAAGTCTAACATGTCATTCTCCTCATCAGTAGGTTCATCTAATTTGTCATAATACGCTGGGTCCACTACAACGTGACACGTTGAACAAGCAAGAGATCCTTCACATGCACCTATTGATGAACGGAGTTTATTATCTGTGATAAGGGCTTGGTGTTCAAGTAGTTAGCTTAAAAAAAAAAAGGTATTAAATCTAATACAGACACTCCAGATCAATGTTATTTGCTTGCGTTATATCCATAATACTATCGCCGATATTCGCTCGAACACTCGCCTTTTCTCCGTCTCGAGTAACAAAGTTTATAATAACACTACAAATCAATTTCAACTCAAGAGTAAGAAGAAACAATCAGATCGATTATACCTTTTATAAAACAAGTAATTGAACCGACCCTTCTCCCTCCTTTGGCTTCTCGATTTCTTTATGCAGCGAAACTAATTTTCAACAGATAAACAGTCATACATTTGTACCAAAATTAGACCTACGAAACCCACTTGTAACTAACCTGCCGAGTTTGAGAAGGATCGAGGATAACGTATTATCCTCGATCGTAGCATTATGTTGCTATTTCTAGCAAAGGTTTTTGCGCTTGCGAGCATGTAAAAACAAAAAAGTTAGAAAAAAACAAGAATAGACAAGAATGAAAATGTCAAATTGTTAACGCCACAGTAGCGCCACGTGAAGGGATAATTATAGACCAATAAATGTGAGATACGACAGAAAATTAATGTTCATCATCATACATTGAATGCAAGAACACGATCGTAAAAAAAAATCGTAGTTTCCTAATAGTTGTCGTCTTTTGTTGCTGATACTAAGTCTTAACGGCATATATACAACATGTGTTTGGCTGATACATAAAAGTTTGTAAGGTGGTATAATAGCACAATACAAATTGTCGACAGAGTCGCTCTAGTGTAATCTCGCAGAATGTATGGATAGCCTGGTGATAAATAAGTAACTCTGGCGGTTCCTCGATGGATCAGAACCGAACTACTTGTTTCGTTTATTTGAGGCAGCAACATATTTCAAAGTAAATTGCTATTAATATTCGAGATCAGTCGCGAATAGATTTGATGATTTCTTCAAAATGTGTCACGAATATTCATTCACTACATAATCCCCAACACTGTCAATCTCTATGTAGTTCTTCTGCCTTGTCTTTCTGTCTTGGACTTCGATTTTGCCACCCTCAAGAAAGTTTTTCCCCAATACGATTATCCAAGAATACCCAACCAATTCGGCATCTTTTAATCGGTGCCCAAGTGAAAAGCCCATCCTATCATCAATCACTATTTCGCCCTTCAACTCTTTTTTATCATTCAGCATATCATACAGACGCTCAACCGTGTCAGAAACTTTAACATCCTTTAGTCCGGGAACGATACAAACTCTGTACGGAGCAACAGAGAAGGGCCAGACGATACCGTGTTCATCATGAGATGTTTCAACTATTGCGGCTACTATACGTGATAGACCGAGTCCGTAGCATCCCATTTGCATTGGTCGTCTCTCGCCTGGAGTAACTGGATCTTCTGGCGTGAACTCGGCTTTGAGAACGGATGAATATTTGGTACCGAGCAGAAAAGTATGTCCCACTTCAATAGCACGACTGCTCGTTATTGGTATATCTGCTGAACATCTGGTGCACAAATCGCCTGCTTTGATTCCATATGCGCGCTCTTCGTTCGCCATATATCCACAGTTGGAACATGAAAATACAACATCTTCTCCCGCTGTTATAAGATGGGGGGCGTTAAGTAGGACAACACATGTTTGTTAATGCCGTTAATGCTGAAAAGCGAGTCATTAACTTACCTTCAGACTGGAAATGAAACTCGTGAGATGTAGTTCCACCAATGTTTCCAGTGTCAGCTTCAGCCTATGCGCATGACCAATATTCTTGTGAGCATGCTTGTTCATCATGCGATTTGCCTATTCAGATGAATACCAAACCTTTAGTCTCGGTTTTACTAACCACAACATAAGGGAGTCCGATTCTAGAAAAGATTCTTTTGTATGCATCCACAACTTCTTCGTATGTATTCATCGAGGCTTCTTCAGTCTTGTCAAAAGTGTATAGATCCTTCATCATGAACTCACGACCTCTTAATAAACCCGATCTCGGTCGCATCTCATCTCTGTATTTCCTGCCTGATAGACGAAAATAGGCATTATTGACAACAGCAAGTACTAAAGTACTGACCTTGTCCATACGCATGATTATATTCACCAATCTGATATAGCCTGAGGGGAAGCTGTCTGTAGGAAGAGATTTCTTCGGCTACCAAAAGCGTAATCTCTTCTTCATGGGTTGGAGCAAGGCAAAACTCGGATTGCTTGCGATCTTTGAGACGGAAAAGCTACGCGTTCGCGTTGATGAATTGTTACGAGAGCGAGTATTTTTATTTTAGTAAAAAGTTTTCCCGCGACTTGACTGCAATATATATAATTCATCACCTCACTGCCAACGGTTTCCCATCGTCCAGTTTGTCGCCATGAATTGGCATTTAATAATATAGGAAGCGATAGCTTTTGAGCCCCTTGATTAACAAACCTGATGAGATTAATATATCCATGCAAGCAATGTAACATTTAATTGCAGATTGCACAATATATACCTATACTCTCCATTTCTTCGTCGATAATTTTTTCGACTTTTCTAAGCGAACGCAGGCCGAACGGGAGAAACGAAAAAATACCCGATGACGACTAACGAAACAGAAGCAAATTTAAATCAAGAATTATATACATAATATAAAATCACATATAAGCTGAATTCCTGACTTGTCTTATTAAACCCGCCCGAATCATCAATCGATGACTCTGTCCAGTATGCTTCGATGTTCCCTCATGGACTTCTTTCGCAGTGGGCAGAAAAAGCTGTGATAAGAGCGTTCTTGGACTAGATCCAGCCTTTATGAACGATATGTGTTCCCCGATTTATCCTGGGCATTATTATTAGAAATGAAATTACATACGGGAATCAATTACTTACGGTAGAACTAGAACATCTGAGTGATTCATGCGTATAATGTCTTGAAATAGAGCGCGAGCAGAATCGAGATGATCGAATTGTATTATATGTCGACATGACGTGAATATAACCCAAAAATGAAAGATTTATTAGTATACAATATTCTAACTGTCATAGCGAAAATCAATTCACCAATCATATTGATCAGTGAAATGAGTGATTCGATATAACGACTGCGCCTTCTGTTAAAGCAGTTTTGTCGTATAGTTGAATAGCAAGGCAAGAAAGATTTCATAACTTCCAGTTTGGAGCGGGTGAACTTTATTATTTTCACCTCGATAATTCCAATATATTGCTTTTTTTTATGTAAAATGTGTTATTTTGATTTCAAACCCGCGAAAAACCAGGTTTTTTTTTTAAAAAATGACTTGTGGCCTAGGATCCCAGATACTCTCTCGTGCTAAATAAACAGAGTTTATAGGGTAACATGGTAGTTCTATGTTCGCGTCAATTGAGACTATTAATCGTCAGTGTAATCAATAAATCTTCGATCCGAAACTTTGTATTGGCTTCTGCTCCTCAGACAAATACTTGTATTTTATTAAATCCAATGTCGACTCTACTTTATAACGATAAAAAAGTATATCTAATGCTAAAGACCTCAAAATACAAAACAAAAGTACAAAAATTCAACAAAAAACCTCCCCCGTCAAAGAAATCTAGAGTAGGGAATTCGAACTGCAGGAATTTAATAATAAATTGTAATAATAGATAATTGATCTATATAAGATATAATTTATATGACAATATTGTCGCATGGTAGTAGACTAAGTCCGTATTAAATATTATAATTAAGTTTTCTTGCCAAAGATCTTGCTGCCCTTCGAGACACTGTAGGAATATGTCAAGAGTGTCAAGTTAGTCAAGTAATAAAATGTCAAGAATGAATGAATCAATTATAGCCAAGATATCCAATTGTACAAATGAATTATGGTCGTTCAACGATACATTACCTAGCATTTCTGGATTGATTGTACAATTCTTGGAACTCGCGTTCTTCTGCTGCAAGAACTAGACGCTGCTCTTCCAACTCTGCCATTAATTGTTGTCGACGCTGGTTGAGCTGTTCCTCTCTTTCTCTCAGACTAGCTTCCTTTTCTCTAACTTTCAGTACAAAGTTCTGCCTCATCTCTTCTTCCCTCTTGCTCATATCCTCAGCCATATTCTCTTTGCTTCTTTCAATTCTGAATTCGTACGACTCATCACAAGCAAGAATCGACTCGGGACGCCCATTGGAACGCAGTTTCTCGGCACGATAATTATGGTAGTGAACTGTGTGACTTGTTTCAAGAAGATCATGAAGTGCATGCGTCATGAGTAACTCGCGAAGGTGGACGAAATCGCAGTGGTTTTCGTTTTCAACTGTGCAGAAGAAAAGGGAAACAAATGTAGGTTATTCGCAGTGAGCTATATAGAATTTGATTGAATATGTTTATTAAATCGATGAATTTCACTGTGTCCACATGAATACACATATTCACCTTCAACGATACCCCATCGATAAATTCGACCTCTAACTTGTTTACCGTCAACATCTACGAACTGATCGCTACCAATTACTGTGAAAGGAATATATTTCTAATTACAGGAGAAGCATTGGGTTAACTGCAAGTCCAAATAAGGTTAAACTGAATATTTGAATCCAACACTTACCTCGAGATCCTCAACACTTTCTCGATCGTCGGGATATGCTGTCGGGAAGATCTTAATTTTATTGGCTTCTATATCTCTTAGTATCTACAGGCGCATATATAGATGGTAATGATTAGCAAACAATGCAGTAAGTGTTACAATAATGCATTTTTGCAATTGTTTGCTTACCGTCTTTTTAAAAGCAGCCATCTCGTCTTGTGTTAGCGTATCGGCCTTTGCAATTACAGGAATCACATTGACTTTAGCTGACAAGACCTGAAGGGCTTTAATGTCAAGTTCCTTCAAGCTAGAAATAGTGTATAAGATCTTGTGTTAGCGTCTCGCGCGAATAGTATGGGATGAATATTCATCAATGTTTTGTACGTACGCATGACCAGTTGGAGCAATGAAATACAGCAATGCATGTATGCGCGTATCAGGAATGGCCCGACGAAATCCTGGACTACGCTCTGCTGCATGATACGCTTCAAATTGATCATCGATATATTTGACAATAGGTGCAAGACTGGGTTGATCGGCAAACGAAACTTGTTAGCAGAATTCGCTTAAAATAACATAATTTTTCACAGACAATAGATTTTATCACGTACTTGTTCTCACGGTTCAATTGGTCACCAAAACCAGGCGTATCAACGACTGTAAGATTAAGAGTAACCCCGTCTTCGACCAACTCTATAGAAATAGCACGCGTAATTAGAACATTGAACGTTTTGCATAACTAACGAAATTTTGATTTAATTCCAGTAGACAAACCATAATGCACAGGGTCAATTTCGACAGTTTTTGTGGCTTGTGGGTTCTTGGCCGGAATCTCTTCTTTCAAAGATGTATTGAATAGCGTATTCATAAATGTGGTTTTACCTAAACCGCTCTCACCTGTTTTTCGTTTCAAATGTAAAGAGCATTGTCAAGCATTAAACAACGTATAATCATAAAACCCCATCCGAAATGTGTGACTTACCAACAACCATAATATTTAAAACATATGGAGTGCGCTTTGTCTTGTAGAAGCGTTGTCGTGGCAACGCTTCAATACCGAGAGTGTCTCCGAGAGTAACTTTGTGAGCTGGTGGGACTTTCCACGGCCCAGGATCAGGGAAGCGTCCCCTACAAATAGTGGATAATACGTTATTGAGTTGAAATATATCTCAATTTACAAAGGCAGGCCGTATATGTCTATCGTTCGTAAGCATCTTGTAACAAAGAAGCGATTTGCAACATCACAGATCATCTGGCGGCCAAGTTAGTAGGATATGCTTACCTGTGTTGAAGAGCGTACTCCTACAATAAAGAAACAGCGGTAGTAAGTTAAAAAGAGAACAGGTCTAAATAATATATATACTCATATGTGTCGCTCGGTACATACCAAAGGCATTTTGTTTTCTACGAATTATTACGAAAAAGAATGATAGGTTTAAGGAAGCGTGGCGATGCAGAAAAGGTAGGGATTGGAGTTGAGTTGGACTATATGCTAAATTATGCTGTTTCAGGGCTTGAATTGACCAAGCTGTGAAGTTTCTTCTCTTTCGTCAAAAGAGTGAAAGCAAATACTACTTGACTAACAAATATTCGAACTATTGTAAAATTAACAAACTACCAATGATTGGACACAAAAGTGTATCACTACATCAGCATATAGATACAGTTGTTTATTTGTCCACGAATGAGGACACAGAAAGACGTCAGAATTCTTTTTTATCTAGCTTTGATCGTAATTCTCGCTTGACGCCATGCTCTTTGGCATAGGGAATGAATTGCATATTCTGAGGAAGTTCCCCTTTGTGGGCTTCGAACCACTCGGCTGTTGGATGGCCTTTTCGAGGATCGGGGGTTGAGGGCTTGAGAAAGAATTTAAGAGCATCCGAGACAGTTTTAATGTTGTTCAGCTCGAGGTTGGGTATTTCTTTGCCTATTACAGACACACCACCTTTCAGTATCTGAACGCAGTGATTGCACATCAGCTTAGTACTTAATTGGTGATTCGAATAAATTCGCTGTTATTGTTGTTACGTTACCTCAAATTTTAGTTTAGGGTCAGATAATTCGACTTCCAACCATTTGGCTCCCACTTCAGGTAAGCGTCTCGTGACTACTGTTCGGAAGGCAGCTTCAATGTGCTTGTAAACGGTAATCGGGGTCTGAGACATCTTTTTTGACAAATATTTTATCGTTGGGGTTCATATAATCCTATTATAAAGTTACACAAATTTCATTCTACATGTTATACCAAATTTAGAAAAGGTAAAATCACACAGTCAATCGATTCCAGAAGAATCTACAGCCACATTCTGATTGGCTGTTGTTTTTGGTATTAAAGAACAAATAATCCATCACGCCAACTCTCCAAAAAAGTAAATGAACCTAACTCTAGATATGCATGTATATAAACTCTGTTTATGCCAAAATGCCATATAAAATATTAATTGGGGCAGACTGCAACAAAACCAGGCAAAGTGAACGTTCTTCAGTGGCACAGCTGTGACATGCACTACCCTTGGACTAAATTGTCATGACATTGGAGTGAAAGCGACACAGAACTTTATTTATGTTGTGAACGCGATTCTCGTTATGGGCCTGATTATACGAATCATATTTGTATTAGCCGCTACGCATGCGACTCGCCACGATAACAACATGTCTAGGCGAATATTCCCGACTCTCCGTATTCTCCTGAGATACAGAGGACTTAACCCGACGGGTGTAGAGCTATTGACATTTCGCTTGGCGTTCACAGTTCAGCAGTTAAGGTATTAACCCTTTGCTGGGCGTCGAGCGTTACCTAGTTGCAGTGGAATACAAGTACACAGATATAATGGATTCCACGGTGCAGGCATAAAATCCGTTATCGTAACAATCCGTTTTATTGAAACCCCGATATAGCAAACTCTGAAAGTGTTCTATAAAGCGGTTTTATTTTACTTGGTGCCAGTATAGGTTGGTCTTGGACAAGTAATATCTTGAATTCGTCTCTAACAAATGGGCAAATATTATGATAAATCCAAAGGAGGAGGGGTTAGTACTAGGATGGAAAAGGATTTAATTTCTTTGGTCATTTCAGAAACACCTGCTTTTCCAGTTTTTAATAAATTAGATTCTGTATAATTACCATCTGAGCTTTGACGACCCAGGTCGAGTTGTTTCAAAAGAAAAATGCCGATATTTTTGTAAGCCACTCAATTTCTTGAAGAAAATTCCTGACACGGGATTAAGATCTAAGTTTCTTTGGTCATTTCAGAAACACCTGCTTTTCCAGTTTTTAATAAATTAGATTCTGTATAATTACCATCTGAGCTTTGACGACCCAGGTCGAGTTGTTTCAAAAGAAAATGCCGATATTTTTGTAAGCCACTCAATTTCTTGAAGAAAATTCCCGACACGGGATTAAGATCTAAGTATTGAAAGCCTTTTCCATTGTCATAACGCTGAGCTTTATTTAATCCAGCTGTACTTGATTTTTTCACAACCTCAACAATATAATCCATAGTAACTTAATGTTGTTTACAGTATAATTTCTTAATTAATCCAAAACTACATCACACTTAAATTTGGTATGTCCAGGCACCATAAATTTTAACTTAATCCTTTCGTAATAACCGCAAATTACTAAATACAGTTAAAATCAAATGATAGTATTATTCTTATTCTGACCTCCTGCATTATCACAGGTAATCTTTGCCTTTATTCAATCTCTTAATAACACGCTCAGTGTACTATTAGGACCTTTTCCTGTAATTTCGTCTTCATCAAGAACGTGATTAATTTTGTTCGTGTACTGCTTCATCTTGAACATCAGATAAATGCACTTTACGCGGACTAAAATAATAAAGCTTACTTACCTGTTGATCAGAATGTGGAACGTGAACATTTTGTGCTCAATCGTAACTGTAATGCCAATGCTACAATAATAAGCTTTACCTCTTGTTATAAAATGTTCATATACCAAATTCTCTGTTGTTTTGCTAATTTCGTATTTTTGTTGTAGTGGTTTCTCTCTAATTTAGCTTTAACTAAATGTTTTTTGTATTTTTTCAGTAACTCTTTCGCTTCTTCTTCCTTGCGAGCATTGTACTGTCGAAAACGTTGACAAGTATTGCATAAATCCGTTCGTGGACTCATGATTTGAATAATTGGTGCCATAACTTGCGGAACGCATCATATTTTAACAATTTCCATGTGCTATATCGTCTTCGAGACCTGCAATAAAATCACGATAGACCGATTTGTAACTCGTTTCAGCTGGTAAGCGATTAAGTAATACGATTATATCAATGGTTATTTTGGCTTTCCATCGCGGTACTTTCTTTACATTACCATGATTATACTATCCGTCGCTAGGTAATTTCTGACGTATGAGAACTGATTTAGCAATAGCCATTTATTCATTATCAATAACTTTAATACATTGTATATTATTTTTTATCAAAAAGGTAAATCAACTGTTATTGAGAATAAAAGGCATAACATATATTAATACAATCAGTATTGCGTTGCTATGGAAGTGGTGTTAAACATAAACACGTTGAGACCAGGGACCGCGTATTGAATCCATCCAATTAGATGTACTGCGTCATTCAACCGATTACGACCAGTGAAGACTCATATATAATTTGTACCCCCGAAAGCGGTTGGTTGTGGAAGAGTTTGTGGGTAGTTATCAAGTCTGAAATTGGGAATTTCATTCCCACCAACGTCAGCTACCACATAAGTAGGGTCGATCAATCCACGAATATGATCGTGTTTGTCCAAGTATGCATCGAAGTCGGGACTGATCATATTAAACGCGTTAGCACCTTCATAATTATCGCCTCTTCCGTCAATGTATGGTCGTCCCGCAAGCAGCTTAACTAACGGCATCAAATCGTCGTCCTCCCAGTGCTTAGAAGGTTTCCTTGATAGATTTCTCACTGGTTCTAAGAGAAGCTTTCCTAAAAATATAGAGTAATAGGTTTAAAAATATATGCCATTTTGTACAGAATGTTTAGATAAAGGGTATACCTTCGACAGGTTCTTTCTTAGGTATGGCAGTGCAGAACGTGTCTATTCCGTCATCAGGGTGTTCGAGTTCCATGTTTTTGTCTTTAAAGGTTTTCTCCTTCTTTCTTTGAGTCTTGTGTTTTTTGCACTCCGTTTTTCTTTTTCCTTTGGCTAAGAATCGTTCTAATTAAAAAAGTATATTAGGGTACGAGAGAGAAGAGACATTACACCAGAAAGCATTTGTTTTGTAAAATAAGAATCCTCACAGAAAACTTGACTACTCGAGGAAGAGCTTGGTTAGATATTTTGGTACGCGATTCAAGGAGCTCTTAACTAAAAATAAAAGTAAACAATCGTGACAGTCGCAATACGATGTAATGATGTGTTACACTAGGCAATATATCGATATTCGTTTATGCAACGACATTTATACTTATAAGGATGCGTACGACAGCAATTGATAGTATCAAGTAGTACCAAACATGTGTCATCTTACGTGAACGGGCGCTTTTATTGACAATTCCACACATTGCAAAGTATTAAAGGCCATCGTCTTGGTAGTATGCGTGAGCAAGAGCTGGAAAAAAAGTTATGCACAGCTCTCAAATCCAAGACCGAAGTCAATGACCTTAATGAGAAATTACAGAATAAATACTCTAAACAAGTGAAGGATTTTGATCGGGAAAGAAAGGGATGGAATCGGGAAAGAAAGCAATGGGAGAGTGTATTTGATAATGTTAATGGTGAGAAACAGAAATTACATACCCATACTTTGGAACTCATTAATGTGACTAATACTAAACGATTAAAGATTGAAAATGCTGATCTTACTTCCAAGAATATTCGTAAAGATCTTTCTATTACAGAATCTAATGCTGAGAATGCCATCAAATCCAAGAAAATTAGATCACTTGAATCTATGATTAAGATATTGGAAAGTAAGTTAGCTTCAGCCCAGAACGACGTGTTTTCGATCCAGAAAGATTTATCAAAAAAAGAATCCGAAATAATATCCCTTAAATCTAAAATAGTTGAATTAGAGCAAGAGTTAGCTTCAACGGTTAGTGAGCTTGGGCGTCTAAAATTGGAGGATATATCTCGATCTGTAATTGGTGGGAATATTGAAAAAAAAAAAAACATGCAAAGCGAGGAACAAAGTTCAATATCAGATTCTAGTAACATCTCTGCGGTTAGCGATTCTAATAAAAGTCTCAGTAAATATTTTATATGCAGAAAAAATATGGACCAGGATGAAAAAATCGATAATAATATCCCAGCACATACCAATGACGAGATTACTGAACTACCAAAAATCGATGCTGAGATCAACCCCAAGATAAGTGATGTAACTAGCATTAGCGAAACTAGTAAAGATATATTCCCAGCCCAGGAGATAGAGATCATACCTTGCACAACAGGAAAATCATACCAGGGATAGGAGCAATCCCTGTTATGGCAAGCACTTTGATGACACCTCTATCAGCGTATATTTTTTTTACCCTGTTAATTATTGCGGTTATATGGTTTGTTATATTGAGACGTACATGGGGGTTGGATATATGGGTTGGGTAACAAGACTATCTATTTAAACTTAAAATATAATATTTGTAATGTATACATGATGGTGATATAAAGATAGCACATATATTTATATTGAGCTGACTGCCTTGTTCCATGTATTTAGAAAATTATCAAATGCCAGTTGATCTGTTTTCGATATATGGGAAAAGGTAGGTTGTTCAGCAATCATTTCAATTTATTTTTTTTTTCATAGTTTCGGGTTGGCCAATTTTACCTGAGTTAGATATGTGTTCTTTATATCGCATATGTGATATACTAATTGATGGAAGAAGGCGTCATATTTCTCAATAATTGGGATAAGTGCATTTAGGTGTTTCGTAAAATCAGAGCATATAGATTCTCTTACCTCGGTACTTACTGAGAGATTATACTCTATGAATCTCTCCCATAATCTCGAAACAGGATCACTTACCTTAAAGTCTTCAAAGCTTAGCTAATCTCCGTGATACGTATATCTCGTATGTATTACCTATTTTTCTGGTATAATATAGCTTGTGCTTTCTTGTAAGCATATCCACGATTAGATAATATTTTAGGGGCGATTCCATTTAGTCATATTTGGAACCATTAAATGTAAGTTCGATATCAGGAGCTAATGCTCTCCAACATAGTGCAAAGGCCTTTAACAGATTTCTCTCATTTCCGCAAATAATCGTAATCCAATTTTGGTCTGATACCATTTCTACATCAACTAGATTAATGGTTTTGGGTCGTCTTTCCAATGAACGGTCATACAAATCATAAATATATTGTTTTCTTTGCATCTTGCAATAGGGAGATGATCTAATTCGCGTGTTGAATTTGTTTCGATATCCCATGCAAGAACTAATGTCCGGTCATGGGTAATAAGTGAAGGAGGATAGGTTTTATATAATACTGTGGGATTTTATATATGACAAAAATTATTAATAGGTATATAAAAGGCATGGTTACAGATTGGAGAACGAACACTCATATTTTCTGAATTATATTATTGAGAGCAATTGATCTTTGTTTAGCAGTAGTTGTAATAATACGGATATAAGAATTTTTTTTCTTTGTAATATCCACAAATGGGAAATGCTTTATATATTCTATCTGGAGATTTACCATATCTACGACCCCTCTTTCGTCTTCCCCGCTAGCTAGAATACTTTTTATTTTAGACCTAAATAACTCTGTATCTTCATTATCGGGAATACGAATATCAAAGAAAACTTTTATACCAGAAATTGTTACTACTGCTTTCTCCCATTGACGAGTGAATCATATAATCGTAGAACATAATGTGGGGTATCATTTATATATTCATTATATTCTTCGATATCAACAGGCATAAATGGAATATCTTTCCCAGTAATTAATTAAATCCTGTTTAATAATCCATAATCTTTTTCTCTTTGATTATACTATTACGACTGGGACGGGTCAATAAGTAATCTTCTCCATTGTAGTGAAATGCCTGGCTTACCTTTTCACTTTCCGAAATCTTTGATTGAGGAAAAGCTTTGGCCCCCCGGTGGTAGAACGCACCACTGTTCTCGTTCTCTAGCTCTGGCTCGAAATTCTCCGAGTTGTCTGGGCTCTCTGGTCGAGAAGGTGGTGCTTCCACCTCTACAGACACGTGATCAACACTTTCTTGGCTCTTGGTAGATTCACTCATGTTTCTCGAATGATATATTATTGGTTAGAGAAAAGTTCAAAATAAAAATTATTAGTGTTAGACATATAATACATACATTATCACATAGATATGGGATTTTATCGTTGCCCTTATATCCTCCGAACTGGTAAGGTTTGTAACGAGGGTTGCTACCAGAGGGATGTAGAGTTCACTGGAATTCTCCCACCCGTGTACCATGTAAAGAGCGTGGTAAATTAACGTCATCTATATTTGGCGCGTGCAGAACTCATGCTGGTAAGTATAGACTTCAAGATCATTATCAGCGGAAAAAGCTGGAGAAGATTGCGCAAAAATCAGAGATGCTTGGAGAAAGTACATAGCGAGTGAGTATACAGACATAGTCCAATCAAGTGTCACGAAGTAAAAAAAATCGGTAGAAAGCTGGGTTCTTGCGAGTCAGAGTTAGAAAAAAAACTGTTCTCGATAACTATCACAGCTGTCACAAGTTTCTTAGGTTAATTTGTCGACTCCTACTTTTTTTTTTCTTCTTTTTTTTCTATAGGTATATCAAAGGTAGGTATACTATATGTATGTAACATATACTGTATATAGCATATATCGGGTATGGGTCTGTTGTATGTCAATTCCGAATATATGTCAATTCCGAACTGACATATGTCAGATCAGAATTTATGTCACTTCCGAACTGACATATGTAAGATCGGAATTTAGCATGATTTATGAATCTAG